AGTGTTTAAACTGAAAGAAAAGACTATCTCTGGTTATAGTATCTCTGTAAATATGTTTAGATAAAACAGGACGGAAATTTCTACATAAAAATATAAAGTGAAAATGTTTATTTTCAAGGTCCAATTCAAACCTGTGATGTCTTACAGAGCATTAGATGCCAAGAACCCAGAATATTTTGGTATTGGCTCTACTGTTTCTCTTAATGTCTATTCCCTCTGAGAGAAATAACAAGGAATAATGAAAATTGTTGACTTTGTTGTTGAAGAAGACTAGAAGACAACATAAGAAAATATCTGTTTGACTGAAGTGGTGCATGTTAGCACTGCGATCCCCAACCCCTGAACCAAGGACTGGGACCAGGCCACAGAGCTCGACACCCCCACCATTCCTTGCCTGTGCAAAATGTGTCTTCCATGAAACTTGGGGGAGGGCACAGCAGGAGGTGAGGTGAGCAATGAGCAAGCTAATGAAGCTTCATCAGTATTTACAGCCACTCCCCATGTTCACATCACTGCCTGGGCTCCTCACCCCCACTGCACCGTCCGTGGAAAAATTGTTTTACATGAAACCAGTCCCTGGTGCCAAAAAAGTTGGAGACCACTGTATTAGCACACTGATTATTTAAAAATTAAATATACTTGAAAGAAATTTACACAATAAGTACTTCAAATAATGTTTTTAAAAACTACAGTTCCGTTCATAGAGAATGAATAAGTCATTCAAATTGCTTCTCTATAATTTAATGTTGATACAATGATTTATAGTAACATGAGAGGAAGCTCACTTTCAATAAGCAGTGTCTGAGAACAAGTTGGCAAATGTGGAACTTTTGTCAGAGTAGACAGACTTTTAAGAATAAAAGGGGATCTAGTTGGTTCTATCATGCAGTAGTCTTTCAAAAGTTGTAAGTTGAATATATATTCATGATAGTCCCTTACTGGTGTGTATAAAGCTTCAATTTATATTTTGCAAAGATCCTAGTTTTGATTTATTGGTATTCTAATTATATTCTTGGCCTGGAGGAAAAAAAAATCAAGATATAGTTTTTTTTAATGTTGGTCTGGAGATACTTTACTGAAAATGAAAGGAAAGCTAGGACTCACAGAAAGCAGAGATAACAGCAGTTTCGGGCTTTTAGAAGAACAGGAAGACAGACTATGAGATTTTAGAATTAGTATAAAAAAGAATTAAGAAAATAGAATTTTAGGCTTACCATTTAGATTATTAACCAGAGGACAATTCTGCTCACAATGGACAATCGGCTTATTGCAGGCCATAGCACTGCTGCTCATACTTCTCCTAGAAGTCTTCCTGCTACCATCCCCAACCCTGTACACCATGCTCTAGCCACTTCTCCAGGTCCCCAAAAGTCATTATTTAAAATGACTATTCTGGCCGAGCGAGGTGGCTCACACCTGTAATCCTAGCACTCTGGGAGGCCGAGGCGGGCCGATTATTCGAGGTCAGGAGTTCGAAACCAGCCTGAGCAAGAGCGAGATCCCGTCTCTACTATATAGAAAGAAATTAATTAGCCAACTAATATATATAGAAAAAATTAGCCGGGCATTGTGGCGCATGCCTGTAGTCCCAGCTACTTGGGAGGCTGAGGCAGAAGGATTGCTTGAGCCCAGGAGTTTGAGTTTGCTGTGAGCCAGGCTGATGCCACGGCACTCACTCTAGCCTGGGCAACAAAGTGAGACTCTGTCTCAAAAAAAAATAAAAATAAAAAATAAAATAAAATGACTATTCTGCTTTGGAATGCTCCAGTAATCAGTCATTCCCCTGTCTCTTTCCCTCTCCTTTGAGAGACAATATTGAAATTAGGCCAATTAATAACCCTACATGGGCCTTTAGAGCCGTTATTGTTCCAAGTGAAGAGTCACATGTCTCTCACTTTAAATGGAAAACTAGAAATGATCAAGCACAGTAGGAAGGCATGTTGAAAAGCTGAGGTATCCCAAAAGCCAGGCCTTTTGTACCAAACAGCTGGCCAAGCTGTGGATGCAATAGAAAGGTTCTTAAGGAAATTAAAAGTACTACTCCAGTGAACACACAGATGATAAGAAAGCAAAATAGTCTTGCTGCTGATATGGATAAAGTTTTAGTGGTCTGGATAGAAGATCAAACCAGCCACAACAGTCCCTTAAGCCAAAGCCTAATCCAGAGCAAGGCCCTAACTCACTTCAATTCTATGAAGGCTGAGAGAGGTAAGGAAGTTACAGAAGAAAAGTTTGAAGCTAACAGAGGTTGGTTCATGAGCTTTAAGAAAAGAAGACGTCTAGATAACATAAAAGTATAATGTGAAGCAGCAAGTGCTGAAACAGAAGCTGTTGGCTAGTTATCCAGAAGATCAAGATAAGACAACTGACGAAGGTGGCTATACTAAGCAAGATATTTTCAATGTAGATGAGACAGTGCCTTCTATTATTGGAAGAAGATGCCACCTAGAACTTTCATAGCTAGAGCAGAGACATCAACGCCTGGCTTCAAAGCTTCAAAGGATAGGCATACTCTTGTTAGGGGCCAATGCATTTGGTGAGTTAGACTGAAGCCAATGTTCATTTACCATTCTGAAAGTCCTAGGGCCCTTAAGAATTATGCTAAATCTACTATGCCTGTCCTCTGTAAACAGAATAATAAAGCATGAAGGACAGCCATCTATCTATCTACAACATGGTTTACTAAATGTTTTAAGTCCACTGTTGAGACCTACTGCTCAGAAAAAAAGATTCCTTTCAAAATACTACTGTTCACTGACAACACACATAGTTACCCAAGAGCTCTGATAGAAATGTACAAGGAGATTAATACTGTTTTTGTTACTGCTAACACAATATTTATTCTGAAGCCCATGGATCAAGGAGGAATTCTGACTTTCAAGTCTGATGATTAATATTTCAGAAATACATTTTATAAGGCTATAGCTGCCAAAGATAGTGATGCCTCTGATGGATCTAGGCAAATTAAACTGAAATCCTTCTGGAAAGGAGTCATTATTCTAGATGCCATTAAGAACATTCATGATTCACTGGAGAAGGTCAAAATATTAACATTAACAGGAGTTTGGAAGAAGTTGATTCCAACCTCATGGATGACTTTGAGGGGTTCAAGACTTCAGTGGAAGGAACTGCAGATATGGTGGAAGCAGCAAGAGAAAACTAGAAATGGAAGTGGACTGAAGATGTGACTAAATTGCTGCACTCTCATGATCAAACTTGAACAGATGAGGAGTTGTTTCTTATGGATAAGCAAAGAAAACGGTTTCTTGAGATGCAATCTACACCTGGTGAAGATGCTATGAACATTGCTGAAATGATAACAAAGGATTTAGAATATTACATAACTTAGTTGATAAAGCAACAGGGTTTCTCAGAGGATTAACTCTAATTTGGAAAAAAGTTCTACTGTAGGTAAAATGCTATCAAACAGCATCACATGCTAGAGAGTGACCTTTCATGAAAGGGAGAGTCAATCGATGCAACAAACCTTTCTGTTGTCTTATTTTAAGAAATTGCCACAACCACCCCAACCTTCAGCAACCACCTCCATGATCAGTGAGTAACCATTAACACCAAGGCAAGACCCTCTATCATCAAAAAGATTATGACTCACTGGAGACTGAGATAATCATTAGCATTTCCTAGCAATAAAGTATTTTTTAATTAAGATATGTACATTTTTTTTTAGAAGTATGAGCAGCAATGCTTTTATACATTTAAGACACTACAGTATTGGGCAGACCATCTGGCCAAGAGTTAATGACTCCAAAGAAAGCAGAATGGGCTGATGAAGACCTCTCTGCCAATAGTTGGCTGAGGGCACACCTGTGAATGGAGCCAACAGTTTCCTCCAAACAACTTGGAGTTGCCTCTACCAAGAGCAATTATGGCTCCAAATTCCTACCCCATAAAGCCAGGCTGCAAAAGTTTTCGCTTAGAATATTTAAAGTTAGTTTAATAACATACTGATCTCTGACACTGAGCAATGTAACCTCTCAGATATTTTTCAGATACATTAAGACATAATTTTAAGATACAGTGATTGCAAAATAAACTTATTAAATGAAAAAAAAAAGACACTACAATATAGTATAAACATAACTTTTATATGCACTGGGAAACCAGAAAGCTCATGTCACTCACTTTCTTATAATATTCATTGTATTGTGGTAGTCTGGAACACACCCATAATATCTCCAAGGTATGCCTGTAATTGTTTTAGAACCCTCTGACCCAATAATCCCGTTCCTGGGAAATATATCTAGACATGGAGAGTAAAAAGTCAAGTTAACTAACAAGAAAGGTTTGCATCAAAGGAAAAGAAACATGTCAATTTTCAGGATAATAAAACTAGAAAAGCCTAATGCTTTGAACCAATGCCAAGATTACAATATGATGCAAAACTGCATATTTGCAATTTAAGTAGCTATCATTACCGTACATGCAGGACCTTGAGTCTGGAACACCTCAAGAAATAAGTAAATAAAAAACTCTGAATCCCAGGGAAAAGTCAATGAAAAGTATGAAAAGTATGAAAAGTCAATTCCTTTGGATGATAGCTTTAGAAAGTTACCCTTTAAAATGTACTGAGAGCAAACCCCACCTGTACCATACTCTTGCTTAGATATTCTGGCTGGATTCAGCTGAATTGTGTCCTTCTATATCCCTTCTCCTCCCTAAACTTCTCTCAGTTTGGGATCTATAGCTCACAAATAACCAGTCTTTCCTGACCTGTCATACAAATCTCAAATCTGCTTTGACCACGCACTCTGCAGCACAGATTCCCGCCTTTCCTAGCATGGCTTACTGACCTAGCCAGAAGCAACTCTCACATCTATGTAGTGAAAATTATAAGAAAATTAGAAGAGAGCCCTAGTCATTTCAATTAATGCTGTTACAATTTAACTTAAATATCATCAGGAGAAAGATCTCTAAGTACAAATAAGACAAAGTTTCAAAGAGGTAGCAATATTTTCATATATATTTTCTTTGATACTCACTTGGGAGGGCATAAGACTTCTTCAAGAAATTCCTCAATCTTATTTACATCCGTTTTGACTTCATTGTTGAAAGTAATAAATGGTGGGTGGGTCCCAGGAGCCAAGTTCTGCAGGTCTGCAGGCTTCCTGTTAGGCAAAACAGTGGTCAAGATCAGATTATTTTTTAACTTAACTAAAAATGTAACAATACTTTAAATTCTCAGAGTGGTTCTAAATTTTAAAGTACAGACAAGTAAATAAGAAACAGTTTTTTTTTCCACTAAGTATAACCGATGCAGTGGTATTCTAATAAGAAGCAAACCTCTACAAAGTACATAATTTAAGGTAAGAATCAAGTCTTTGATTTATTAACCAAAAAACAAAGTCCTTCATTCTCATTCCAAATTTAACTATGGTGCTTATTAGAGATGATGGTCAGATGAATGAAGGGAAAGACTAGGGAAAGTCAGTCTTTGGTTTCAACTCCTGCACCAACTAATTGTGTAAAGATGGATAAACCATGACTTCTCCAAGCCTTCATTTTTTTTCTTTTTGTAAAATTAAGAGCAGTTGATTCCTGCAGTCCTTTTCAACTATAAGATTTAAAATTCTGGTGCTACCTCTTTTCCATTTTTTTTTTTTTTTTTTGGAGACAAGAGTCTCACTCTGTTGCCCTGGCTAGAGTGAGTGTCGTGGCGTCAGCCTAGCTCACAGCAACCTCAAACTCCTGGGCTCAAGCAATCCTACTGCCTCAGCCTCCCGAGTAGCTGGGACTACAGGCATGTGCCACCATGCCTGCCTAATTTTTTTTTCTATACATTTTAGTTAGCCAATTAATTTCTTTCTATTTTTGGTAGAGACGAGGTCACGCTCTTGCTCTGGCTGGTTTCGAATTCCTGACCTTGAACGATCCTCCCGCCTCGACCTCCCAGAGTGCTAGGATTACACACAAGAGCCACTGTGCCAGGTCTGTCTTTTCCATTTTAATAGAAGGCCAGAGATCACCAGATTAGACTAGCTAATATCAAAATTACTTCAGTATATAAAAGATAGCATAACCAAAAGTAAAAGGCAATAATGGAAGGGACAAAATATTATAGTGAATGAGAATGGCTTTAAATTTATATTACCTAAAGATTTTGTCCAAATTCATTTTAAAAGTCATTAAAAAATCAAGTAGGTGTGAATCAAAAGAAAGAGGTAAGGTGAACACAAGGGGAAAATATCAAATGCACAATTATCAAAGGAATTCAAAACTAAACAATCTTCTCCTTCTTAATTAGGAAAAACTTAAATATACACAACACTATAAAAGACAGTGAACTATTATGCTTACAAGAAGAGCAAAAAATGTTGTCACTACTTGATTTTTTTGAGACAGAGTCTCGCTCTGTTGCCTGGGCTAGAGTGCCTAGCTCATGGCAGCCTCAAACTCCTGGGCTCAGGCTATCCTCCTGCCTCAGCCTCCCAAGTAGCTGGACTACAGGCATGTACCAACAGGCCTGGATAATTTTTTCTTTTTTTAGTTGCCCAGCTAATTTCTTCTATTTTTAGTAAAGATGGGTCTTGCTCTTGCTGAGGCTGGTCTTCAACTCCTGCACTCCAAGCGATCCTCCCATCTCAGCCTCCACAGTGCTAGGATATTACTACTTGATTAAAAAGCAAAATGAGGGCTGGGTGCAGTGGCTCATGCCTATAATCCTAGCACTCTCGGAGGCAGAGGTAGGAGGACCCTGTCTCTACGAAAATAGAAAAAAATTAGCTAGGTATGGTTGCTCATTTCTGTAGTCCCAGCTACTCGGAGGGCTAAGAGAGAGGATCACTTGAGCACTCCAGGAGTTCGGAGGTTGCAGTAAGCTAGGATGATGCCATGCACTCTAGCCAGGGCAACAGAGCAAGACTCTGTCTTAAAAAAAAAAAAAAAAAGCAAAATGAGCCAGCTCATGGTGCAATGGAGAGCACATTGGACTTCTAGATGAATCTAGTATGGTTATTCAAAATGGCCTCATCCAAGCCCACCAATGAATTTTAGAATCCATAAAAAATATGATAAATATGAATATTCTTACCAAAAAAGTTGACCTGAACTTAATCAAGCCACTGGGGCAGCTGTTTCCCAAATTGTGATCCAGAAGACTCATTAGGTAGTCCATGAGGTCAAAACCATTCTCATAAATACTAAGGCACTGTCTGCCTTTTTCAAAAACATTCTCTCATGCACATATATTTTCCAGATTTACTTGACTACTTGGTGTATGTTATCACAAGGTAATGAACAAAAAAGTCTATTCTTATTATGGCAAACATTAGAGATGTGCAGAAATATAAAACAATGCCACTTCTCACTATTTTTTGTTTTGGCAAGTAGTTATTTTCCCTTTGAAATGTGTTTTATGATAACAAGGATAGGTGGACTACTGTTCTATTTAAATGAATTAGTAAATAAATATTTTAAAGTTTCCCAGCTTTAATTTCTAATACAGTAAACTTGGTAGATATAACTTATATAACTGAAAGTTCTTTGAGGTCCTCAATAATTTAAGAGTGCCAGGGGTGCCGAACCGTAAAGTTCATTTACAGGAAATGGGGTTGCTAGAGGACAAAGTTAAATGATATCACAAGACACAATTAGCTAAATTCTGGATTTGGGGCAACATACAGATCAACTGACCAGATCTGCAAGTCAATGGCATGGGGGAAAAAGCCACAGGTGGGAAATGTTGTAGATTAGAAAATTTAAGAGACATAACAACCAAATATATGAATAAAATTGTTTGGATCATGACTTGGACAAACCAGCCAAAGAGAAAAAAAGATATTTGGAGTAATCAGGGAAGTCAGATTATATATACTAGGAACTGGGGTATCATGATAATGACATTATGGTTAGGGAAGAAAATATCTATATTGTTTGGAGGTACACATTGAAGTAAACAGGGGTGAAATGACATGATGCCCAGAATTTACTTTAAAACATTTTCAACAACAAAAAAAAAAAAAGAAGAAGAAGAAGAAAGAAAATAAAGGACAAAGCAATGTGGCAAAATCTTGATAACTGAATTGAGGTTGTGAAGAAACTTATTCTATTCTTGTGTGTGTTTGAAAACTTTCATAATTAAAAAACTTAAAGAAAAGCATATGACAACATAATGCTTCAAAGAACTTTTCCCTTCCTATTAGAATTGTTTTCTTGTTTTTAAATTAGTCAACCTGCTGCTGACTTCATCCATCTTCTTAAAAATAAATAAATGAACTAAATTCTGCTTTGGAAGCTCCAGTAATCAGTCATTCCCCTGCTCTTATCCTCTCTTTGAGAGACAATATTGAATTTAGGCCAATTAATAACTACATGGGCCTTTAAGAGCCGTATTCGTTCCAGTGAAGAGTCACATGTCTCTCCTTTAATGGAAACTAGAATGATCAAGCACAGTGGCAAGGCATGTTAAAGCTGAGGTATCCAAAAGCAGCTTTTGTTACCAACAAGCTGGCCAAGCTGTGATGCAATAGAAAGGTTCTTAAGGAATATAAAGTACTACTCCAGTGACCACACAGATGATTAAGAAAGCATATTCTTGCTGCTGATATGGATAAACGTTTTAGTTGGTCTGGATAGATGATCAACAGCCCAACAGTCCCTTAAGCCAAAGCCTATCAAGCCAAGGCACCTAACTCACTTCCAATTCTATGAGGCTGAAGAGGTAAGGAAGTTCAGAGAGAAAGTTGAAGTAACAGAGTGTCATGAACTTTAAGAAGAAGACGCTAGATACACATAAAGTATAATGTGAACGCAGCAAGTGCCTGAAAAGAAGCTGTTGCTAGTTAAGAGAAGATCCAAGATAAGACAATGACGGAAGGTGCTATACTAAGCAGATATTTTCAATGCTAAGATGAGACAGATGCTCTATTTTGGAAGAAGATGCCACCTAGAATTTCATAGCTAGGCAGAGACATCAAACGCCTGGCTTCAAAGCTTCGAAGGATAGGCATACTCTTTGTTAGGGCCAATGCATTTTGGTGAGTTAGACTGAAGCAATGTTTCATTACTCATCTGAAAATCCTAGCGGCCTTAAGAATTATGCTTAATCTCTATGCCTGTCCTCTGTAAAAGAATAATAAAGCATGGAAGGACGCCATCTATCTACTTACAACAATGGTTTACTAAATGTTTTAAGTCCACTGTTGAGACCTACTTGCTCAGAAAAAAAGATTCCTTTCAAACTACTACTGTTCACTGACAACGAACATAGTTGCCCAGAGCTCTGTAGAAATGTACAAGGATTAATACTTTCTTTGTTACTGCTAACACAATATTTATTCTGAAGCCCATGATTCAGGAGGAATTCTGACTTTCAAGGTCTGATGATAATATCAGAATACATTTTATAAGCTATAGTGCAAAGATAAGTGGATCCTCTGATGGATCTAGCAAATTAATGAAATCTTCTGGAAAGGAGTCATTATTCTAGATGCCATTAAGAAATCATGATTCACTGGAGAAGGTCAAAATATCAGACATTAACGGAGTTGGAAGAAGTTGATTCAAAAACAACCTCATGGGATGGACTTTTGACGGGCGTTCAGACTTCAGTGGAAGGACTGCAAATATGGTGAGCAGCAAGAAAAATAGAAATGGAAGTGGACTGAAGATGTGACTAATTCTGCATCTCATAGATCAAACTTGAACAGCATGAGGAGTTGTTTCTTATGGATACAAAGAAAACGGTTTCTTGGTGCATCTACACCTGTGAAGATCTATGAACATTGCTGAAATGATAAACAAAGGGATTTAGATTATATTACTAAACTTAGTTGATAAACAGCAGGGTTTCTAGAGGATTAACTCTAATTTGGAAAAAGTTCTACTGTAGGTAACAATGCTTACACAGATCCATGCTAGAGGAGTTGACCTTCTAGAACGGGAGAGTCTCGATGCACAACCTTTCTGTTTCTTATTTTAACTAAAGAAAATTGCCACACGACCCCCAATTCAGCAACCCTCCATGATCAGTGAGTACCATTAACAACCAAGGGCAAGACCCTCTATCATCAAAAATTATGACTCAACGGAATGAGATAATCATTAGCCATCTTGCCTAGCAATAAGTTTTTTTAATTAGATTGTACAATTTTTTTTAGAAGTATGAGCA